TGCGTGTTCTGCAGTTTCCGTGTCAGTGTTAAACCCTAACGTTGGCCAGGCGGCTGGAGCACCATAGAAGGGCGGCGACCTTATCGCGCACAAGGAGCAAGTACACTCCTGCTGGATGACCCGTGCTAGTCGGTTTCGTTATCTCGCCTAGCCGAAGGTATACATGCAAGACCGTTGAGGTTATCAGTGCAATTGCTTTGCAATGTCTTGTGTGGGTCGTTTCGCTTCGTACAAAAAGGATGAATGACTCACAAACGGAGCAACGAAACAAAGCAAGCAAGCAAGTGAGCAAGCAAGCACGAAACAAAGAAAGAAAGAAAGTATCCCGTATAAAACAAAATGATGTGTGCGGGTGATGTGCGCGCCGCAATTGGCTGGCTTCCTTGCAAGCGCAGCTCCTAATCTTGCATTTAGTGAAGGCGTCAACGTAACAAGTGGTAACCACAGCAGATCGAGCCCAACAAAGCATTAAAAAAAGAACAGGAAAAGACAGAGAGACTCACACGCGGTTTCATGTTTAAGCTTTTTTTTTAAGGCTGAGTGAAGTGACGTAAGAATTTCTGATTTACCATTGCTTTAAACTAGCCTTCCAAGCAGATGCCCAGCTTCAGTAGTGGCAGAATTCATAGGTTCACACCACCAAAGCAGAATCTAAGTGGCCATTCTGCATATCCTGCTCGCAGAGGCAAGAACTGAGCTGTTTGAGAAACTGGCATACGTTGTAGGTGTCTGTCAACAGTGTCCATAAAAACATATTTGGCAGATCCCACGTACCTGGGAATCGACGTTATGTGAAGCATGCGGAGGGAAGGGGACCGTATTGCAATTTTAGGGGCGAAGCTTTTTTATAGCGGCACCCGTTAGTCCCCCGTAGAATGTAACAAGTATAACATTTTCACCTCCAAGGTGGTGCTGGTGAGAGACTTCTTCTGTGCGTTGTTGAACAATAAAAAATAGTGCTCAATGTACATGTCAATGGCTGCTAATGGGGAATGGGAGACAGGAGCATTCGGCTTTTAGTTAACGCGCAGGCTGCGATCACCATTAGCAGCCATTGGCATGTACATTGAGCACTATCTGAAAAGAAGGGGTTGCTACGTTATACTCGCTGGGTGTAACCTCCTTAGGTTTAGAAAGGTTTAGCGAGCGTTGAGCCGCAGTGCCATGAATACAATGAACTTGCATATACCATGAATGAACTCGAGGTGGTTAAAAATGGGAAGTAGATACGAAGCGCAAGCCGTAAGAAAGTAAAAGCCGAATTCTCCTCCTCTCATTTCTCATTAGCAGCCATTGGCATGTACATTGAGCACTATCTGACTGAAAAAGTTTGCTACGTCATACTCGCTGGGCGTAACGTCCTTGGTTTTCGAAAGGTTTAGCGAGCGTTCGGCCGCAGTGCCATGAATACAGTGAACTAGTATATACCATGAACTCGAGGTGGTTAAAGGTGGGAAGTGGACCCGAAGCGCAAGCCGTAAGAAAGTGTGCGTGTGCCACCTCTCGTTTAGTCCTTGGAATGTCCGCTGGATGGCGGTGCTTCTATATGAGGAATATATGATGAAAAGATGCGAGGTGGTGGTACTTGGAGTGTTGAATAGATGGACGAACAGACACATAGACAGATGCATGGACGGACGCATGAACGGACGCAGGGGCGGCTGCATGGACGAACGCAGGGACGGACGCACGAACAGACGCACGCACGGACGGGCTTATGGACGCATGGACGGTCACAATGATGGACGCATGGACGGACGGAAGCAAGAACGAACGGAAGGACGGAATGTTCACCCCACTCTCCATCATTTACTCTGTGGATATGCTGCCATTTTTTTATTGAGTGACACGTCATTAAATGACGCTAAATATATGTACAAATGTTGCACGCACAGACATATGTTGATGAGTTGCAGATGTTTATATAACCAGTTGTTTGCACTTGTGCAACGATGTCAACTATAGAACATGCGTATTAGCAACACCTGAAGCTGATATAAAACGCTGACGCTGATGAAGATGCTGGCCCTGGACACTGCTACACAAATCAACTTCAACGCATGGCAACTAACCACAAGTCACGTTAACCAGATCCGTTAACTGTATCAAAAGAGTACATATACAATGTTTATAAATTTGGGTAGGCAGCACTGCAACTACTGTTGACGTTTCACGAAGATTAGCGTCTATTTGAAAAGTAGTTCCGAGACCTCGCGTAGCCCTGCGGTAAAATGCTTCATTGCCACGCACAATACTTGGGTTCGATTCCAGCGGGGACTCTTACATTTATTATTTGCATTCGTCGGGTTGACGCTACCGATGTCGGGTTTTTCTTAACGCTCGCGCGTTGAAAGTGCCCATGTTTGTTCCCGTTGTTCCTTGGTATATACTAAGTTTCAATCACCTGTGGCACGTACCCGAATACTAGCGGCACGTACCCCGTGTGTGGGTACATGCCACTGTCTGACGGAAAGCGTTTGAAGACGTACGTGAAGGGATTGTGACATAATTCAAGTATTGGCCAGCGTGCCACATTCTTTAAGCCATCTTACCCTCCCATGCTGATTTTTGTTTGCGCCAAGTTAAGGGGGTGACCTCAAGAGCACCCTAACGTAAGCGCCTGGATAGATAGATAGATAGATAGATAGATAGATAGATAGATAGATAGATAGATAGATAGATAGATAGATAGATAGTATTCTAATGTAGCCGAAGTGGCGACCCGTATGTGTGTGTATGTATGTGTGTTGGAATGATGATGATGATGATGAGCAAGTCACAGCTTTGCCGCAAAGGCAATGCAATGAACGCGATAGCAACACATCGGAAGGTCACACACAGAATGGAAAGCAGATCGAAACGTGCCCTGCGTTTATCCCACGCGTATGACGCACGAAACGTACTCACAGGTACAGATGCGCGCGCTAATAAGTGTCTTAGTTGTTACTTCACTGTGACTGAAAGCGCGCGCCTTTCGCAAATGAAGACTTCAATGATCGCAGTGACCTTTGTGCGCCCGTTAACTACAACAGAATCGTTTCAGGTGAAACAGGAGGCCAGCCAAGACGTACGATCCTCCCCGCGAGATAAGGGCACGCGAGGGAGCCTCACCTCCCAGCTCTAAGCGGGCCAAAGTACGCGTGGAACATCAACGCGCGCTGCCATGCAATCTGGCAACTTGGGCTCATTGCGCCATCTTGCTGGTAATGCTGAAAGCACAACCCCCCCCCCCCCCCCCCCGCTTTGAGTCCCGTCAGCAGAGGTAAGTGGTGGATATAAATAGCTTGCCGTTTGAAAGTTGCAGGACGTGCTCCCAGGTTGCCCAGGGGTTAACGCCTCGCATTCACGACGCAGACGTACCACTTGCGGTGGTGAGTTTCGGTGACGCTGGCGGCACAATCCAGCCGAGAGTTCCGGAGTGTCCATATAAGTGCTATCGCAATAATAATATAAAATAATAGTATATGGGGCTTTCTGTGCCAACACCACGATACGATAATTAGGTACGCCTTAGTGGAGGGCCCCTGAAATTCCAACCATGTGGTGCTCTCTAATGTGGACATGGGCGTCTAGCATTTCGCCACCACTGAAATTCAACCACCGCGGCCGGTATTGAACCAGCTCCACTTCGCAAGATCCAGTGAAGAAGAAGTTCACCATGGCCATCAGTTAAAATATCATCAAATGTACTGCCTAGCTATGACATGGCCAGAAATATTTTTCCAGAAGGGTTTGTTTTTCCTTTAACATGTGGTCGTGCGAGTGCGTATGCACACAAATCCAAAACCTAAATATTTCCGTGAAAAGTTTCACCCCGTTCCCAATCCACTCCGTGGCTAGGCCACTATAGGGCATAGGCGCACAGACGCACCTGACAAATAAGAGTCGCTTACTCAGATCATTTTCGTCTATCAACATCCTTAGGGATGCTAAACACTGCTCGGAACTTTCTTCTTGACTATCCCATCTGCACAGGCGATGTCAGAGGTAGGGGCAGTGGCGTTTCTAAGGGTTGGTACACAGGGCCCGTTCCCGCCACCAGCCCTTTTGTATGCCCGGCCCCCTACTGCAGATCAAGAAAGTGCCCCTCCCCATCGCAAAAAAAAAAAAACTGCCTACGCCTGTGGTGCAAGTGAGTGTAGAGGGGCACTTCCTTTCTACCCTCTCCCCCCACCCCTTCCCTGAGCTACATCAGTAGCCCATTAAACCTCACCAGAGCCCACCTCCCACCAGCCCCTGCTACGATACACCACGGTCTTGCAAACCCCCCAGACAAAATCCGGCCTACGATGACCGACTGAGTGACTAACGCCTACGCCTAGAGGTAAACGTTCCAAGAGACACACCCGGTGGGCTTGCTCGATCATTATACCAGGAGGAAAGCATCAAGACTTTTCCTTTACACCTTCGTTCCGCCCTCGCGACAAAATTTACGGGTGACATAAACGCAATTTCTTTTCCCTATCGTAAAGCATAGGGGCAGCCTTTTGCACGTGCGAGCTATAAGAAATGCCCCGCCGCGGTGGTCTAGTGGCTAAAGTACTCGGCTGCTGACGCGCAGGTCGCGGGATCGAATCCTGGCTGCGGCGGTGCATTTCCGATGGAGGCGGAAATGTTGTAGGACCGTGTGCTCAGATTTGGGTGCACGTTAAAGAACCCCAGGTGGTCGAAATTTCCGGAGCCCTCCACTACGGCGTCTCTCACAATCATATGGTGGTTTTGGGACGTTAAACCCTACATATCAAATCAAGCTATAAGAAATTCCCGCTCAGTGCTTCACACTTTAGTCGACAGACGTAAACATTGCTATTTTTACCCTAGAGAAATTCGTGCGAACGTAGAAATGAAGAAGCGGGTCATGCAAGGGCAGAACCGCGGCCCTACTCTCCCTCCTTCGTGGCTTTCCTCTTTTAGCTACTTCTCACGCCTAATCACAGTTATTATCACCATTATCTCACGTTTCCTTCACGCGGCCCAAAAGCTTATTTCAGGTGAAGTTCAAGTTCCAAACAGCAGACATCTAAAGTCACAGTATGGTTATGCTTCTATAGAGTTCCCAACAAAAAAACTGCAACAAAAATCTACAAATGTGATCGTTCTCACACAATCAAATTAAGCATTATTTCAACGCCCATGCCATCACTCAAAACGGTATTAAGAAGTTGCCTTCAGTCCCTTGACTTTGTCGCTTGAGGCTGAAAGAAAGAGGGAAAAGAAAGAATTATTGCATTCTAGAAAATTTTGAGCACAAAAAACACACACACATTTGCAAGAAAGAGAACACAATACGGGCACCCTTCCTGTCTTCTCGTTCTTACGAATGTGCTTTTTGCGCTCAAAATTCACGTCAGCTGTGAACCATCTCACCAAATTTCAAGTTTCCATAACGCATACAAATGCAGGAAGGGCGAACAAAGGTAGTTCATGTTGGCTAACCTGTACGGGGGGAGGAGAGTGAAGGCGAGAGGAAAGACATGAAAGTAGACGAAGACAACCCGTCATGCCACCTAATTAGTGACTGAGGTACTGCTTTCATAATCCCAAGTGAGCAGGTTTCATTTCCGGCAACGGCAACCACATTTTAATGGGGCGAAATTCAAAAGCACACGTGTGCTTGGGTTTAGGCAGGTTTCAAAACACCGGGGAACAACAGGTTAACCAGGTAACATCAGAAGTACTTTAAAGAACACCAATAAAACTAATCTGGTGAGCCCCCACGATGACGAGTCTCGCAATTATGTGGTGATTTAGGCGCAAGAATATAAGGATTTCTTAGAGTGAAGAGACAAGCATTAACAGGACAACCATGTCCACAGAACAGTGCAGGCACATGCATGGCGCTGATAAACGTCCATCTTTATCCAAGGCTCAGAAACCTCAGTTCACTCTGTACAGTAAAGCAGTTAGTGTTCGCGCAGATGCGTAATTGTTGTATTTATGGCGTAATATATTTTTTCAAGTTATCGCTGGCGAGCTAATTCACAAAGCCATTTCACACGAAAAGACCAGTTGATATGCCACCTTCGGCTCATCGTTCAAATGCTGGCTGCCACGTTGAGGCTATATTGCAGGCGCGGAAAATGCACACCACACATCAAGGGCAGACAAAAAGCCATGGCATGTCAATCCACGAGCGCTTACTGGTAAAACATTCCTGCGCACTATTTTTAAGGAGAAGAACTGTAAGTGAACGGATAACTTCTAGTTTGAAGATATTAAAGATTTAGTTTGGTAGAGCTACAGGTAAAGAAAGAACCAGTGAACTTGACATATTTGTCTAAATGATTCAGGCGTGACAAGGTAATTAGAGCATGCAGAAACATTATACAATTGGTTACGCGACGTATTCACTTTGTAGTATAAGGCTAATACTAGAAAGGTTAGAGGAAGGCGAAAATCTCTACCGTCTCTACGACATATAAAATGGAGGCTTCAGGCTACAGACTCAGTCTTGTCTTATGAAAATCATTTTTCTGAAAAGGTTTCCATATTATAAGCGCGTATTCTAGAATTGGCCGAATTAGAGTTATACACAACAGTAGAGTTTAGTGTTTTGGGGAGTTACTATAGTCGGTTATAACCTAAGAATAAGTATAGGCTCCCCCCACGAAGCCTCATTGCCCTTATTTTCCATGCCTCTGCGCTACAAAGACAGTAGTTTCCGAACAGTGGCCATAGTTTTCACGCTTACAACCACTACCTCACAATACTGGATTGGTGTTGAAATACAGAATCCTAAGCTCGATAAATAAACTTGAGAAGGCGCGAACTTCCACGTCAGCTTAGAAATACATCGGTTGTTTGAATCGCCCCACCCCCCCCCGCGCTTACCTCGGAGTCCCCGAAGAAGCAATGCACGTCTTTCGAAAGCGATGCTTCTGCGCGGTGCCTAAGGTTATACTAAACAAACAATGCCACAATTAACGAATTGAATAAAACTTAAAAAATGTTCTTTTGCGGTCCCACAAAATGAAAAGGGGACAATATTCACACAACAATAGGTTGTTCGCAATTTTTTTACGAAACTTTTGCTGCCAAGATTCTTGGTCGTCTTCTGTAACTTTGGCAACTATGACTCAAAGCGAAAAAATGGGAAGCAATCTGAGATAGACTTCGCGAATTTTGATTCTTGTGCTGCCTGAAATACCGAATGTGCATTTCGCGTCACCGTGCTTGTCATCGTGTTTGAGGTAAACGCCAATGATTCATTCAACGCGTTGTTTTATCGAAATAAAAGCGCATAGCGCACATTGTGCTTAACGGTAGGATGATTGCATACGTTGTTGTTAAGTTAATGGCCAAGGCGATGGACACGGCTAAAATGGCGGCGCCTAAAACTGTAGGTGAAGCGCACATCAATAGAGCTTAGAATGCGCTAAAAGATAGCAGATAATTTCTAAGGTACATACAACTGCTGGCGCAAAAACACACCACTGGGAATCTTTATAAGCTTTTTGAAATGCTTCACATTTTTGTTAAAGGAATTAAAATGCCCCAACTTGCTTAATGCTAGAAAGTTAAGGTCTGGTTTTCTTCGTTGGGCACTCAATTAATTACAATCAATAGACAACCAAGCCAAGGAAAGTGTAGGGTATGCTAGTTGTGGTAACTGTGAGATAAATGTGGAGGAATTGAAGTGGACGAAAATACAACTTATTACAAGCAGGGCAGAAGCTGCCAAATTCGAATAACGCGTCCAATATATGTGAATGACTCGTCCGATAAACCTGGTAGCTTTAGCACCGCTCGAAACCATGACGGTGAGTGTGGAACGCACTTCTTTCGCCCGCTGGAATCACAGAGAAGACAATTTTGATGCGAGCTTGCAGCTGACCAATAATTCTTCGCATAAAACCTGAACGCATCAGGTCTGCTGGAACGACACCCTCGTAATGAATGAATGAAGAACGGGGAGGGCTCGATTTCTTTGTTAGGTGGCGCGTACATTGCAGTATTGATGACGCTACATTATTGTCTTTAAGTTTACCGCCCTTTGTTTATCTATAACAAGAAACCACAACCAATTGAGGAGCGTACCGTAAGGTGTGAGGCGGCAGCTGCCGGACACTCGGTGCGCTGTTTCCGAGTGGCAGGGTGAAGCAGAACCACCGACATCTCTCGTTGTGTCTTTCGTAAAGAATTTCGTAAGTCTAGGGAAGCGTCGATAGTTATTTAAGAGCTCAGCTCCTATAGCTCGAAGTAAAACGTCGGAAGCCTGCAGAAAAACCCACCAATCTGTGACTCATCGCGCGCCGTTACTCATCAACCGCGCCCACCGACGGAGACAGCCCGAGAAGCCGCCGCGCCGAGTTTGCACGGGTGGAGTACGAGCGGTGAAAGGCCAGCGCTTCGGCAAGAGGGTGCTACAGTCAGCTTTGCGCTTTAGCTGCAGCACTGGAGTTTGGACATTCTTGCATGGCCTATGACATGCTGTGGTTCGAGTGTACTTTGTTTTAGCCAAGTAAAGACCACGTTAAGCAAGACGAACCAGCTTCGCTGTTCAAACGTCTCCTCTTGCGAAGTAGCTTCTGCTCGGGGCTGTGTCCATCCCTCGACGACCGTCCACACCCCACCTGCGCATGCACCAACTCTGCATAAGCACAGGCGTAGTTACCCTGTTGGGCGCACACCTTAGCGTTTCGCTCCATAAAGGACGATGTTCTGGACCACTACTTGTAGGGTACCCAGTGTTTTGTGCTGGCTCATGCCATCATTGATCGCAATTCGGCATGTGATATGTCTAGGTTTTCTTACAATGTGGTTCAAGTGCATGTCAACTACTTCAGCAACCACAAGGCTTAACTCACGATCTTTAGCGTTAATCGTCGGGGTGGAGATGCGTCACTAGGCGCCAACGTAGCTGCATCCATGTCAAGCGGTGCTACCAAACACAAACACACATTGCGCATGCTAGCTTATTATCAATGAGCAATAAACAATTACAACTGGGAAGACACGGTTCACTGTCGTGTTTCACTGATTTCTATGACGGAGGAATGAACCGTGTTTATTTGTTGTTGTTGATAGTGCCACAAGGTGGACATAAAGACCACCTCTGGTGTACCGCCGCCCCTACATCACGTGACTGGACCATGTTGCCGGCGCACAATAAACCACGCGAGTAACGCACGGTTCATTATGGCGCAGCATTAAAGCCACCGTAAGTAATAAATAAACAAATAAATAAATAAATGCACACTCACACGACAATGATACCTGAAAACACGTTAAGCGTTAGTGAGCTTGTTCCACGGTTATATTGACGTCGGCGTTGTTTGTTGTGAGTGAAGAATCGTCATCTTGTGCGTGACCTAAAAATCGAGAAGTATGCAAATAAAACAATTAAGAAAGAATTTTATGTCTGAGTGAGGATTGAACTCGCGTCATTTTTGTGGCGAGCAAGTAAGAGCCACGCGTCTGCTTGGGAATACAGTGAAAACAACTTCCTCTGCTTAAACATGCAGTGAAAGTAACTTGAATGACTTACAAACGCATGCGTGTGCACAGAACGGCATAGGAGAACCTAGGCCCTCGTGCTCAGATTTGGGTACACGTTAAAGAACCCCAAGTGGTCGAAATTTCCGGTGCCCTCCACTACGACGTCTCTCATAATCATATGGTGGCTTCGGGGCGTTAAACCGCACATGTCAATCGTTAGGGCAACCTAACGTTTATCCTGCGTCATTCTATGTAGACTATAGTGCGTGCCTACTAGTATATAGATTCACAAAAAGATGTTTTCTTGTCCACGCAAAACTATGGCGTTACGGATTCACGTAGTCGTGTCAGCACGGAACGGCACACATTTGTGTGGAAAGTACTCGTGGGAATCGGCAGTTCGAAAATTAGAAAATATCCTTCAGAAAGAAGTTGTATATCCGCACGCGACCATTCTGAAACATACCGCTAGAACACCGCTAAACATGCATGTTTATTTAAACTATCTCAGCAATGTTTTGATTGACTTAATCATTCTTATCGCAATCGTACATTCGCTTACCCGTTTATTATAATACACCTCCAAATGGCAAACTGCGTTATACGCCCAATGTAAGAATTGTGCTGAGAATAAACTATAGGCGTGTTACGTAAAGTGTGTGATCGTACGCCCAGCTAGGCTCTTAATAAATAGTACTGCACAGAAGAATAATGCGAGGCTGCAAAGTTTAAAAAGAAGGGCTCATTAGCTGGAGCATACCGTCATTGGAATTGGGTAAACATCACGTTGTTCATGCATGAGCGAAAATTGGAATAAAGGAAACATTATGAAGTCCTTGCGTACGCCGCTGGGCGCTAAATATAGGCTTGCACCTGAATGGGACACGCATTTTGGGGCGCTTTGAAAGATTAGTGATATGAATACTGCCCAACTCCATACCATATTAAGTGTAACAAGACAGATGATGATGTTGCTTTTACTTCAAAGTGCAGATTACATGCGGTGTAAAAAGGAGAGGGTGACCACGGCCTAGAACAACTTCCGTTATACTGTTTAGAAGACGTGGAAGGGAACAGGAAAAAACAAAATATAAAACCTCGTATACAAGTGGTGTTATAATTAATTTCAGGACCCCCAAGTTGGATTCATGCCCCACCTGCTACTTCGCACATTTTTTTTAAAGGGTGAATCATTCTGCATGCACCAGAATTGTTATTCATACCATGTGTCATTTCACAATTTCCGTTAATTTATGAACACTTTCGCGGTATAAATGGCAGATGTCAAAGTTTTGGCGAAGCCAGTATCTCACTGCCGTGTTAAACAGTGCGATCCTCCATGGCGCGTTGTTTGTCACTTCTACACTTATTTATTTTGCTATGTTCAGGAGCACTTACTTAAACTAAATTAAAGGAGTGATTGTGGAGAGTGTAAACTTAACTACGTTCTGGTGAATTACTAACTCATTATCACTATAGTTACAGCCGGATTGGAAAAAACTAGGGGACCTTAAAGCTTTGCCTTTAGGAGTTGAACGCGATGGTGATATTCCGTTCCTAGTGCATACTTCAAACACTTAGTGCATGAAACCTTTTTCGAACTTCCTATGCACCCATTACGTGGCCTTGAAAGAATAGGCGCAGTAGCGTGCGTTCCGTTTTTAGTGGTTGACTGGCTTTCAGCTACGAAGCCTTTGTTGAGTTAATAACATATTCTGACGTCCGCTGGCAATCGGCGCTTATACCACGCGTTATTCCGGCAATATTTCGTACTCCATTGTAAAGCATGCCTTTATTGAAAATACCTGGCCCTGATGGCATCTCAGGCTAATTTTACAAAGCTTTCAAAAAAACCCTTGCTCCTATATTGCTGGAGAGAGAGAGAGAGAATAAAATGAGGGAAAGGCAGGGAGGTTAACCAGAAATCGGAGCACATTGCTGGATATATTTTAAATAAGTTATGACATGAATACACTCCCACAATATTTTTGCAAAAGTCACGCAGTGTTAATACCGAAACAACTGACAAGGAAAAGCATCGCTCCGTTGAGGGCTACATACCAATATTGCTGTCAAACGTGGACTACAAAAGTATTATCAAAAAGGTTGCAGTTCGCGATGCCGATCTTCATTGGGTCTCATCAGACATGTGGAATCAGAGGTTGATTCATACAAACCAATATACATGTCGCTCGTACAGTGCTTTAATACTGTCATGGTTTTCAAAAACATCTTGCAATGCTACATGTAGACCTTGCAAAAGACTTCCATCTTGCTTGTCATTCCTTCCTTTCAGGGGCGAAGCTTCTTAAGCGGCACCCGTTCGTCCCTCGTCGTAGTCGTAGTGCATAACCAGTCTTACGCTTTGACCTGCAAGGTGGTGCCGGTGGGAAATTTCTTCTGTGCGTTGTTGAACAATAAAAAAAATCACAGCGTGCGCGTTAACTAAAAGCCGAATTCTCCTGTCTCTCCTTCCTCCTTAGCAGCCATTGCCATGTACATTGAGCACTATCTGAGAAGAAAGGGTTGCTAGGTTATACTCGCTGGGCGTAACCTCCTTGGTTTTAGAAAGATTTAGCGAGCATTGGGCCGCAGTGCCATGAATACAGTGAACTAGTATATACCATGAAATCGAGGTGGTTAAAGGTGAGAAGTAGACACGAAGCGCAAGCCGTAAGAAAGTGTGCGTGTGCCACCTCTCGTTTACTCCTTGGAATGTCCGCTGGATGGTGGTGCTTCTATATGCGGAATATATGATGAAAAGATGCGAGATGGTGGTACTTGGAGTGTTGACTAGATGGACGAACGGACACAAAGACAGATGCATGGATGGACGCATGGATGGCTGCACGGATAGATGGACGCATGGACGAACGCAGGGAGGACGCAAGGATGGATCTACTGAGTACACTCTTCCCACCTCCGTTGTACCGCTCACTATACTCCAATCATCCAGGCCACGATGTGTTGAAGCGAGTGCACAAAATGTACATTCAACCAAAATCAAAAAGTTCTTCTAAAAACTCCACTCTGAAACATTGACGCTAAACACATGGTTAAAAAGAAAGGGTATTTGTATTCCGTCTGTTAACTGCCATCTACGTGATGTGCCAGAAACTACTGAACATTGCTTTGTTAGCTGCAAAGATGCCACACTGTTTTGGCATGTCCTTCAGCGCGCACTGAAAAAAACGTTCCGTCATTAATGCTCACACAATATTACCTTCCACCAGCACCGCTTGATGAAATGCCATATGATTTGTTTTTCCTCATGGGTATGCACAGCTTGTGGAAGACACGAATGCAGGACCGCAATACAGAGCCTACCGCTTCTTCAAGCACACACTTTATTCAAATGACTATTCCCCTCAAATACATTTACAACGAGCTAGACTTTAGACCGGACTGGTACTGCATCTTGGAGGGCTGTTCGATCTCACCCCTTTTTTGTTTGTGTAAAACAATGTGAAGAACTCTCGATGTGAAGAACTCACGCTGCGTTAGCCATTGAGCGTTTATGAGTAACGCTTGAGCGCTTAATGTCGCCATTTGATTGTACTTTTGTTTGCTTGATTTTGTCTTTTTACGGAAATACTTCATTGAATACCATGCAAAAAAGGCGTGACCGTGTGGTAGAACATCCGCTTGCCAAGTAAACGACCCGGGTTTTATCCCTGCTCGTATCCCAGCAAGCCTGTTCCGGTCCCCACTCTGCTCTAGGTCTTTTTTATGATTTATTCATTTTACTTGTATCGTTGTCGATTTTTCGGTCACGCATAAGATGATGACTTTTCTCTCACAACCAAAAATGCCGACGCTGGCATTTTCGCAAAACGAGCTCTTTAACGCTGCCGCGTTAAAATGCACCGCAAACACCACTTGCTTCGTTGCTCACAGGTTGGTTTAAGCGCAATGAATAAAAGAAACACGTTCAGAATTAGTGACGCCTTTTTTTTTTAGGTAATGTTCATTGCGATAAGCCTATAAACAGTGGGCCTTCATCCATCGAGACCGGAATATTACTCATAGCTCTACAGACACAGAAACAGTGTGTTGTGTATACAGGAGTGGGCAAAATGTCCCAGGCCACCATATATCGTGTAAGCCTAAGGCGTGCAGCGTGGCCTGGGAACGTTTGAACACCGGTGCGCATCGTGGGAACAGGCCTCCATTAAAATTGTGCACTTTAAGCAAACCCGAATGAACAAAATCTTGTTTTCATTCAGCAGAAAATGATTTCCTGCCTCAGTGAAACAAAATGCTAATTTAGTTGTATTCAAAAAGAGAAAACAACCACGATCGCAAACTCTACTTCCTGTGGAAATATATGAGCGCACAAGGTAAAAGGAAGGAAGCGCTTGACAGGAAAGAAGCTTGGAATATATATTTCTACATTATGCTGTACCAACTGGCACGGCATTTTTTTTTCCCGGGTTCGAATCCCGGCTGCGGCGGCTGCATTTCCGATGGAGGCGGAAATGTTGTAGGCCCGTGTGCTCGGATTTGGGTGCACGTTAAAGAACCCCAGGTGGTCTAAATTTCCGGAGCCCTCAACTACGGCGTCTCTCATAATCATATGGTGGTTTTGGTACGTTAAACCCCACAAATCAATCAACAGCATTTTCCCCCTTTATTGTGCTTCCCGAGTGTACGTACTCTGCATGATTAGCCGTCAAGTTTTCAATGATGAAGGTGGTACGTGATGTATTTATTTCTACTAGCCCAACCATGTAATTGCAAAGTATTAAGGTGCTTACCTCACCATGAAATAATGCAGAGCATGTGCCCTTAAGACTATAGCAGTATATCACGTGCGAAGTTCCGGTTACAATGTTTCCCGTTCGCCGCACTCGGCTTGTTTTGCAGGACTTGTCATACCAAGGCACGCCCGTTTGATCGTGGTCTTATGAGCACAAATAACGTGCCGCGTGCGGCTGTGGGCGCCTGTCCGCGTTGTCTCTTACGACTTGTAAATATCTGACACAGCGTTTTGATAGACCAAACCCAGCTCTCGTTCTTTACAACCTGGCCATACATCATCCCACTCTGCGCCGCCTACGCCGACGTCTTACCTTCGTGCGATCGGCTTTGACCGCACAACCGGATACCGTATCGGCTGAGTCCATTGTATAAATAACGACGTGGCCGAGGAGAAATCGAAGCCGCCCTGTCACTAGTCATCGCAGCCAGAAGGGTTCCGAGTCTTGTTTCGCACCGCCTTATAAAGAAACGAACAGCGCCGGCTTTGGCGTATGTTCGTACACGACTCTTCAAATACACGCACACTCACAAAGAAGGAAGCAACGTGAAGTGTTATCTCTCTCGCGATAAGGGTCCACGGGGCAACGGTGAGCGCGCGAGAGGCGACCGTCTAAAGTTCGAGGACTACGCCCGCCGCCATTTGCAGTGTTGGAGCACGAGCGTTACGTGCTCCTCGCCGGATTGCTGCGCGCCGCGCCTTCTTTCTGTCCTCGTCGTACTACGAGGAGACCCCTCCCGGCAAGCGCCGAACTCGAAGTTCGTGGACGTGACCAACGTTTCGCGTGTGTTTCCTACGGACGGCTCCCAAACGAGCCGAGGAGATACGACGGACTTTCTGTGAGGACTGAAGACACCGCAGAAGAACTGAGGTGAGACGGGACGGACTGGCAGCGCCATTGCGCGAAGCCGCCGCCTTTTCAAACGTCCCTGTAACGGTCGCGCCCTTCTTTGTACCGTGTCGACGGTTGTACTTACCTTTGCCTAAATAAGTTTTCCTATACACTATTACGATACGAGAGGGTTGGCTACTTGAGGGATGTATCAAGAAAGCTGTAGACAAAAAATTTGCCGTTGGCGGCACCTTTAACGCCTCCATACCGGCCGCTTTGGAATGGGCGTGGGCTTGACGTGATAACCCGCGCAGACGCTCAGGTTAGCCTGGCATGGCCCGTTTGATGACGTCAAATTAACGGGTTTACGGTAAGGAAACACTTATCTTCGGTGTCTATGTTTTTGCCTCCCACTGAACATCTGACTGGGATAAAAATATATGGATACCATAGAATCCTTATCCCTACGTTAACTTCTGCGTTGCCGGTACATATTCTTAGCTGCTTCATGAATTCATTTTTCATCATATCTTTGTACTTCAGTGAGAGCACGTTCTGCTTGAAGTATGTCTAGTGCTCAGCCAGAAGTTCTTTCAATCAGTGTTTTGCCTCAAAGAATATGGAATCGACCCTACGTTGCCCTATTCTAATAAGGAACAAGAGGCACAGCATGCATGCTTCAGAAGCACCTAATCCCACATAAATCTGATATTGCTTTACTACATAACTTCATTTGTAACGCCATCTCGTTCAAATATCAGATTTACGACTGAATGTAGCACCATTTTTATAGCAATAAACGCGGTCAAACAAAAATCATATTTTTTTAACGCACTGAGAGAGAGAGAGATACAGAGAGAGAAAGAATACAAGAAAGGTAGGCATGTTAACTAGACTAAGTACAGTTTGCTACCCTACACGTGGGGAGAGAAGAATGTGGGAGTACAGGAAAGAGAGGAGGAGGAGGAGGAGGAGGAGGAGGAGGAGGAGGAGGAGGAGGAGGAGGAGGAGATACACATTGCACATAACACACACAGTGCAGGTTTCACAGGTGGTCGCGCAGTGATGTTGCCCTCAAGAATTGTAGATGGGCTCATGTTTTAACCTACTGAGCTCAAAAATAAAGTTAAGGGCTCGTTAATTTTTTTTTCATTCTACGGGGCTCTAGTAAGCCAAAGTATCGGTCATACATTGTTGTAGCCGACCCGCTAGAAGAATATTACGAATTCCGTATATAGCTTGCGTATTTTTCATCGTTCTGCAGCCCAAAAAACAAACGCATAGACGAAAAGTATGGGGACGACAAAGGTGCTGCTGTATAGTTCAGCGTTCATAAATTCACAAACATATCTAGAAAAATTTGCTTTCGGTTGTTGTAGGTGGTACTGTAACATTACCTGTTTAGAAGCAGTTTTCTTTTGTTTGTTTGAACAAAGTAAATAGGCATCTCTCTCACCTGACTTACTCACTTTTCCTCCGATAGTGTTTCCTTTTTTAGCATAGCTTCTTTCAAAATGGTGTTCAAGTTTTTAAAATAAAAAATAGTATTCCCAAAACAGAGAGAACGTTTCGCGTGTCTTACATTGTTTCGCTAGCTTTTCAACTTTGAGTTATGCGTGCAGTTCACGTGTGCGATTAACGGAAGATGTGTTTCACAACACACATTTTTGTCACACCGATAATGAACCACTCAGTCAATTACATGATCAATCAAGCTTACTTTACGCAAAACCTTTACTTCCTGTGAAGGTCGTGGCACACAATATTACCACCAAGGCGGTTGATATACTTTATTTCGGTTCCTGCCGGGAGAATTAGTAATTGTGAAGCCACTTAGAGGTCGTTCTTATCGACGGCAAACAAGCTCACAAAGGCCGCTTTGTTAGTCTGCACTCTACGACACTGTTGAACTCTCGAAGCGCAACTTCGAACTGGATGCCGTGCGTTATCTTGACGACTTTGAAGAACGATACGGTTCGTAGAAAGAATAACGTCAACTGTATAAAAATGAGCTAATGAGCGGTTAACCGTGCGAACACTCAATACTCGTGCACAATAGGCCAGCGTACCGGCTAAGTTAGTTTCTACCTGGCACCTATTTTCATCAGAGTCCTTTATTTGAGAGAGAAAGAAAGTTTATAATTATTTTAAGGTGCCTGCAGTTCCGCCGCGTTAGATCTGCAGTTATGGTGCTCGGATGCGGACCTGATGGTCGCAGGTTTGATCCCGGTGACCACATTTCCATAGGGACAAACAAAAACGAAGCAGCACTGAAACTACGTAGAAAAATACGTGCCGGCGAATGTGATTATTCTAGTTCTTTTTTGTTGTTGTTGTTTTGTTAGTGAGATAGATGACTTGCTAACGCAGCTTCCATTGGCTATGGCCGCCGCCTCATCGATGAGCCTAGTACTATCGTTAGGTCAAGTAGAAAACCCTGTTATTTCATAAATATCGGCATGCATTTGCATTCTGCGCGGTTAGTCGTCAGGAAATTATCACGCCCTTTTTATTTACTTTTTGGTTGTGTTCACGTAATCGCACATTCAGGCGTCTGCCTGTCTGTCCGTCGTGACTTTAACGGCAGGTCAAAGGTACGTTGTATGCTGCGCTCCTCTCACATTCAACAAATTCATTTCGGTGTTTAATTTTACACCTATCGGAAGGCCTTCATAGTGGGCTGGTTTTTTGCAAATAACTGCGACAAATTATGAAGCGCAGAAAACGCCACTGAGACTCCGGCCATATTTAGATTATGTAAAATGCCATGTAAGTATGGAACCACAGCCACCTTCTTACGCGCGGCTGCCTTCTAATACGTGTGAAATCGAGCACCAAAATGAATTTGTTGAATGTGACTGAGGAGCATAGTACCTGTGACCTGCGGAGAAAGTTACTTGAACACAACAAAAAGTTAAAAAAAAGGTTGTGATGGTTTCCTGGCGGCTCATCGTAAACAATGTAAATGCATGGTGTTACCTGGGGAACTAAATTCTCTGGCAAGAGTTTTTTCTACTAATTTTAGTTTGTCTTTTCACCCTAGTGCATTCACTGATATGATTATGATGTCATGTGAGAGGTACCTAATTTTTATGCGTTGCTTTAATAAACGTATTGTCGGAAGGTAGCACTTGTCCTTGTTTTTCAGCTGTCTACCTTTTCGTTAACAAAATGGAATACCAACTATATATAGCCCGCTCGCAAACCTTGCTTCTATAATGGTGCTAGCCCCCTTTCGTTTAGTAAACGTCGCATCACTTTCAGTGGGCATTATAAGCTAACTTTTGATCGTCGACTTCCATGCACACACAAAACCCACTACGGCCAGTTTGCTCATCATCTTTCTTTTAAACTAATCGAATGTTGAGCGAAAGAAAACTGCTCTGTAGTGGGAATGCGCCATTTTGATATATGCCATCTTTATTGCATAGACCCACAAGAAAGCGCTCCGCTTTTCCATTATCTTATTGAATTATTCTTTAGTAACTATTCTGACAGTTCATTGACCCTTACTGAAAACAAACTTATGGTTAAACATCATATGTATCATATTGAACTGATATCTTCAACCTCACCTACTTTATATATGACGTCTTGTTTTTATTGGGGTATCATAACATTCGATCAAACGTTCAACTACGGGCTGCGTGGGGGTGAATTTAAGTGTGTTTTTTTAGCAATATAATATCGGCGGAAGCTAGTGCCATAAGAGGTCATAGGCGTACTGAGATTAAACTAAAACACGTTGACACCAGATGTGAGCCCTTGCTCAGAAATTATGCACAAAGTGTGGCATGGCGTGGCCTCTAGAGTACTGCATTATACTTTTTTAAACGGCAAAATAGCTTACGACCACTAGCGTAACATTAACGCGGCCCCTATTTCACTAACGTGGAAACTCACCCCCGTATTCACAAACGCTCCTCGACTCGACTTTCCCTTTTCATTTGACAAAGTTGAACACTGCGCCGCTGCTCGGCTGAAAAAGACGCTGCGCTGCTTGAGAATCGCACCATACTATCGCTGATATGCAATCACTTGCCATGCCTATAGAGAGGGCACTTCCATCGGCCTTCTCAAGTGAAGGTGAAGCGTTGAGTGAAGGAACGTTCTAGAATACGGGGGTCAGTTTTCCAAACTGTGGTGCAACTTCGAAAGACGAGGGAGAGATGGTACGCATATCTATCCTACAAGCCCAATGGGGTACGTCATTGGACGCAACTTATATCGCAAATTGAAGCCGTCAGAGTTTATTGCTCGTTGGACGGGGAATGGGGGGGGGGGGCGGTATTCATTCAACATCTATTTGCATCAAGCAACCTGTAAATCATACAGACCACCAATTGAGCCAGATAGAGAGAGCGAATTCACTTCACTAAAAGTAATTTACTCTCAATCCATTTTACATACATTAAAACTAAAGGACGCGTTAATTTCCTTCTTTTTTTCTTTTTTTATAAACGTCGCATCTAATTATTTGATGTGTTATCGTATGTCTGACATTCCTTGGAAACCCATAAGATGCAGGATCCTTGCTGAAAGCCGAAGGAGAAGAAAGAGTTGAAGGAGAAGATATAGTTGGACCAGTAAATGTTCATTACCTTCGTTAGCGCTACAGAACGGATGGATGCAAACCTTTTTGCTTCTTTTCGCGGTATATCTTATCGTGGGATAAA